CCCGGACCTGGGGGAGCCCTTCGGGGTGATGCGCTGCGTGCTGTGCGCCTGCGAGGCGGTGAGTGCACCCCGCGGCCGCGGCCCGGCCCTCGCGCGGGACGTCGGGTGGGCGCGGAGCTGCCAGGGAGGAGCGGCCGGTCCGTAGCCCTTCGGACACCGTTCTGGTGGAGAAAGTGGCGGGCGCGGAGTCTTCGGTGCTGGCTAGTACGGATCGCCCACTGTGCGTGAGGCTCCGCGGCGGCTCCGTTTCATCCCTCTCTCGCTTAGCTCCCATCGCGGCCCTGCTAGAGAGATGCGGTTAGTGTCCCCCTTTTCCAGACATGGAGCTGAAGGCCCAGAGAAGTTAAGTAACGCGTCTAGGGTCACGCAGCTTGTCAGGGCAGAGCTGCCTGGCTACGGGACCACCTTGCCCTGGTCCCTGGACTCTTCCTCCTGCCTGGGTTCTCACCGGTTGGCGCCTCGCACTCATTTGGTTTTCCCGCCCTCTCCGAGAGCAGCCTCAGTGGGGTCGCCGCCCGAGGGGCCCTGGCAGGGTCAGCTGCAAGAACATCAAACCCGAGTGCCCAACCTTGGCCTGCGGGCAGCCACGCCAACTGCCCGGACACTGCTGCCAGACCTGCCCCCAGGGTGAGGCCGGCTCCGGGCGGAGGGGACGGCGGCGGGGCTGCGATCCTAGGGCCTGAGCCGCTCGAATGGGGTGGCCAGCGGGCCCTCCCCGCGGCCGGCTGAAGCCCGTGTCTCTGCCTCCCGCGCAGAGCGCAGCAGTCTGGAGCGGCCGCCGAGCGGCCTGTCCTTCGAGTATCCGCGGGACCCAGAGCACCGCAGCTACAGCGACCGCGGGGAGCCGGGCGCCGAGGAGCGGGCGCGTGGTGACGGCCACACGGGTAGGGCGGTGGCGGGGGTGGGTTCGCGGTCGAGGCCCGGCCACCAGCGGCGTTTGACAGCGCTCAGGCCATCGTCCTCCCTCGCAGACTTCGTGGCGCTGCTGACAGGGCCGAGGTCGCAGTCGGTGGCGCGGGCCAGAGTCTCGCTGCTGCGTTCGAGCCTGCGCTTCTCCATCTCCTACAGGCGGTGAGG